GTTAATTCATCCTTCTTCGGTCCAGATATTCTACACAATACTTTATTTTCAAAAACCTTAAGACGTTGCTCATCCCTTAATGTAAGCGACCACGTTTTGCAACCATAAAGAACTGTTGGTAAGACAATGGTTTTATAGATTCTAATTTTTAAGTTTCGGGACAAGTGGCGCGAGCTAAGTAGTTTTGTCACAGAAAAATAACAAGTATTTCCCGCCTTCAGTCTAACCTTAATCTCTACTTCAAGTTCGTTTTTTCTAATTATCATAGAACCTAGATACCTAAACTTCTATACCTGTTCAAATATATTACCATCTATATCGATATCACCAATAATATCGCCATTTTTGCAGCTAACCATATATTTTGTCTTATCTGTGTTTATTTCGAGCCCTAGTTCTTTACTAGCATTCATTAATGTTGTCGTATTTAGTTTTATAGTTTACAAGTCTTCCCTTAACAGTACGATCATCTGCATAGCCCATCACGGGTATTGTCCCACCCAGATCCAACCCTTTTTCGGTACACATTACCTCCCTAATGGCATAAAAGGAAAAGGAATCATCCTGTTTTAAACCCTAACAAACAGGAAGAGGCATGGCGGATATCAGATGGCAAGGAATTCCAGAAGGCAGTGGATCGGGCAATAAAGGAATATTCAAACGTCTTAGTTCTATAGGAAGGGATATAAAAGTCGGAAGCACGGGATCTTGTTTTTTGGGAGTGGACCACGGGTTTAAACTGTAGGAGACTGTAGATGTAAGAAAGGTGCCGGGTGTTGATCGTTTGGAATAGGAAAGAACCAAGGAAATATTGTCTACAAAAAGAAGGGAAGAGCCACTTTAACTCATCGTAAAGGTGGGACACATGAGACCGCCTCAATGTACCTAAGACAAATCTTAAGCAGGAATTCATGAGTCGCTTTAATCTATCCTTGAGTACCATCGGGATGCCTCCGTACACCACACAGCAGTAGTCAAAGTGGGAGAAAATAAGAGAGGATACAAGGAGCTTACGGATGGGTTGTGGGAGTAGGTGGCGGGAGCGATGAAATAGCTTAAGGGTATCTATTGACTTACTGGAGATGAGGGTGATATGGGGTTTCCAGGAGAGTTTTTCGTCTATGGTGATTCCTAGGTTTTTAACGGAGGAGTTGAATGTGATAGGATGATCGTTGATGACTAAAGGAGGAATGAAGGAGATGGATATAAGAATAGAACTGGAACCTATAACAACGGCCTGAGTTTTCATCGCATTTAGCTTTAAATTATTCAGACTTGCCCAGGTGACTATCTATAGACCAGCAGCTAGGTCTGTCTGAATATTGGCGAACGCGACTAGTAGCTCAAAAGGATGAAAGGAAAAATAGATTCGGGAGTCATCAGCATATAAATGGTGTGAGCAGTGGTAGATGGATTTGGAAAGATCATTTATATAGGAATTAAAAAGGAGAGGGGAAATGTTCGAACCCAGGGCCACTCCAGAGGACAGTGCAAGGAAGGAAGATAGGGGTTGGTTTGGAATGCTGACTGCTTGAGTTCTGTCGGATAGGAAAGACTGCAACCAGAGGATAGAGCTGTTGGAGAAGGATAGAGATTTTAATTTAGTGTAGAGTATAGAGTGGTCTAAGGAGTCAAAAGCTTTGGAAAAGTCGAGAAGTATTAACACAGTTAACATTTTTTCATCCATTGCGGTCCGTAAGTCATTGGTAATTTCTAGTAGGTCAGATTGTGTAGAGAAGCCAGGACGAAAACCAGATAGGAGAGGATCAAGTAGTTTTGAGTTTTCAAGGAATTTAGAGATTTGGTATTGAGCTATTCTTTCCAGAGGTTTAGAAGGGTTAGAGAGAATGGAGATTGGATGGTAGTCTTTAGGAGAAGTAGGATCGGGGATTTTGTTAATAGGTCTGACTAATGCTTTTTTCCAAGCAGTGGGAAAAACTGAGCTCTGGAGGGAAAAATTATAGATGAAAAGGAGAACTGGAACGACTTCGGGAAGGCATAATTTTAACAGTTTGACAGGTATACCATCAAGTCCGATGGAGTTTGTGTGGGATTTCATTATAGACGAAATAAGGTGGGTTGGTGAAATGTTGGAGAAATAGAAATTATCACAGTTAAATGAGGGTGATAAGGAAAACTGGTAAGAGGAGGGTGAGCTGTTGCTGGTGGTGGAAAATATAAATTAGGAATTTAATTCATCAGGTGAAACCGGGTAGATCGGTGAGGAAGAGGATTTACAAACAGAGAGTTTACAAAGGATTAGCCATATTGATTTAGAATCAGGAGCAGAAGAGAGGGTTTCATAAAAGAAGTTTGATTTCGCTTTCCTGATCGTTGTTTGTGTCAAGTTACGGAATACCCTATAGACTTGATATTCATCTGCTAGTCGAGTGCATCTGAAGCGTCTACGGGCTGCCTCACATCTCTTTTGCATGTCACGGATTTCTTGACACATCCAAGGAGCAGGTGGGCATCAAAAGGTTGAGATTTTGATAGGGCATGTATGACAAGAATATGGATAAGATTAGAAGAGAGGATGTCTACCATATGATCAATAGAGGTGCAGGAATAAATATCGTTCCAGTTTACTAATCTACTCTATAGTAATATACTCCACTGGTAATCCAGATTAGTTAAAATAATCTACAATAATTTCATTATACAACAATAAACAATCGAACAATAAAATGTTCGATCATGGTGATTTGGTGTGAGCCAAATATTACCCAATGATCCGTAAGTGAGTTGTGTGCGGTGATTGTGAAAACTGGTGTGGACTGTATGAGGTTGGATCACTGAAATTTGATGATTGATTAAAGTAAACAAAATATTGGGAACATGATTATATTGCATATAATTGAATAAAATAAAATAAATGAAATTTGTGCCTTAGTACAATTGTGGGGTTCTTTACAGATTAATTACATAAAGCTCGATTGTCAATTTGGACTCACTTTCTGTCTGAATTTGAGCTTCTTGGTTTTGGCCACCTCTTCTTCCTCCCCATACTTCCTCCACCAGGCTGTTCTCTTAAAGTTTAGCAACTCGTATTGTCTTTTATTGCCATTTCTTAAGAAAGTACCGTAATGTGTGCACACCAAATGAACAGATTAACTCTACAGGAATGGTTTGCAGCAAGATGGTGGCCATAAAATGGTGGTGAAGTTCTGACTGTATTGAATTGTTATTTTTTTGTTTCAGGGGTTGATCCCTGAACAGTTACCATTTATTTACTTCAGGTTAGGTTCTTGTTACTTAGCTATAATCCATTCACTCTGTTTATATAATTCATTATTCTTAATATTTCTTTGTACTTGCTATTTACACTGTGTATAAGTTTATTCACATTGTTTATATTTTTTATCTAAACATTATGTAACAGCCACATTGGTCTATAGTCATTTGTATCTTGTTTGTTCTAGCCCTGAAGAAGACCTGCAAAAGCGGGTCAAAATGTTGGCTTTAAATAAAATAGTTTGTTACTATTGTCGTATTTTTATGACTGCCACATTGGACCATCTTCTTACTTAATAATATATGACGGTCAACCATCAAGTATTCAACATATTAATTACCTTTTACATACTACTTAACTTTATAAACAAATTTTACTTTTTACATATTATTTACCTGTATAAACACATATTATTTAGTGGAGTAGATACAATTCAATTGGTTCTATAAGGTACTGACTGCAAAAAGCATTAAGGAACCTCCACAGATCGACTGAGAAATGGGGCAGAATAATGAACAAGCAAAAAACAACTTACACAATTTTTGGTCTCTCTTCCAATACTCCTAAGTAAATAAATCTTAGAATAGGGGAAAACTTAACCTAAATTGGGATCAAATTAGATCCATGTCTAACCTGAAAGAAGGCGATCAAAGGATGTGCTGAGAGAGGTATTAAAAGAACCCGCCTACTAGAAAAAATCACTGGATAGAATGAAGAAGCAGATGAAAAACATTGAAAAGTTTGTACAAGGATATTTGGAATATGGGATCACCAGTTGGGGTACTGCAGCTCACTCAAACCTTCAAAAGAAAAACTGCCTACAAAATCAGAGCCTCTGAATAATCACAGGCACAATTAAGTCAACCCCAATTAATGCAATGGAAATCATCACTGGTTAACAAACCATAGAAGACAGGAGAGACTTAAAATTTTGGAATGAATTTCGAAAGCAATGTTGAGATAGATCACCCTCGTAAAGAATGATTCAAGCATGGATATTCCTCTCAATTTAAGAGAAAAAGTTCTATCCACAGAACCAAGAACTTACTGATAAAATTAGGAATGGAAAATGTAGAACCTGCTTGTGAAGATTCTACATTTTTACCCCTTTGGAGGTAAACCCACGTGCTGATATTGACAATAATACAACAAGAATAACAAGCAAGGTAGGTATGATGATCTCTGAGATGTGAGCTATTAGCCTTGACCACATTAATGCAAACTACTCAAATCATGAATGGACCTGAACACATACCGATGATTCAGCCATAGAAACAACTAAACTCTAAACACTGGAGGGCCTCAGGAGAACCACTGATTTCCTTTTTTTATCACCGGGCGTGACCATTTAATTGGCAGAACAAAGAGGAACACCTAAATTTGAATTTTTAGCACATTTTGATGTTTTTAACAAATCTTAAGTTAATTTCCTTTAATTTTACAGAGAAAGGTAAATAAATCCAAACAGTATATATGTATGATAATTTAAAAAAAATAAAAGTAATAAAACAATACATTGTTGCACACTTATTTGATTGCCTATTAGCCAATCTATTTATAATAATCAAATTAGCTTTTGATCATTATTTATTATTGGACGTTTAGAGGAATCATTTAACCCCTCTTCAGCAATATTGTTTGCCCCAAAAATAGGTTAAGTCACAGTATTTAATAAGCTTGGCCAATGGCTATTATCCAACTAAAACCTTTTTTTCCAACTTTTTTAAAATTGCTTAATAACTGAATATGAATAAGCAATATTCACCTCTTTTCCATTGAAATTGTTTCTAGTTATACCCAAAAAAATTGACACTGCTCCACATTCTGGTGTTTTAACTAATTCCACAACATTCTCAACATCGATTTTACAGTGAACAAGTTCTATGAAATTCATACTTCATTCAACCTGTTAACATAAGAAATTTCTAAATAAGTTAGAACATCATTATAAAAACTTAGAACTATTTTAATTATATAAGAATAAAAAAGTTATTAAAATTAGAATGCTTCATATTCTAGCAATCATAAATCAAGGATATGATGAAACGGAGGGGGAGAAGAAGAAAAAGAGTGGATCTATCACACTGTTCCATTGGAGGTTTATCAAAACTAAAGGAATAATTAAATAATAAAGCCTGTTCAGAGAGTCTAAGAAGTAGGGTTATGAGAAGAAATGGTGAATTTGTGTTGGGAGAGACATGCTTGTTAAAGTGGGATAAGATATTTCAGATTCTATGATTTTTATAAGTTCATTAGGAGACCTATACGAGGACAAGGTATAATTTAGAGCTAGAAAATTTTAATGATTTCTTTCCATCAAAGATAGGGACCATTATTATCTATTTAAAAAAATAGTGGTGGTTTTGAAGAGTCTAAGAAATTAAGATGGTTGTAACGGAGTTTTTACAATTATTAATCAGAATCAATTTGTTAGATAGCTTTGCAACAAATTAAATGAACTACTAAAATTGCTGGGCTTAAAGGTGAATAAATTCATCATAGGTTAATATGTGCTGAGTCAACTGGTAAGTGCTTGAGGGGTATACCAAAGCAAAGGTGGGAGGATTGCATTAAGGCTGATTTTGGAAAGCAGTCGATGCTTTAATATAGACAGCACTGGTGATATCGGCATTAAACCATTGGCTTGGCTAAGCCTTTATTCAGTTTCTTAATCTTTAAGCGACAATGAGGAGGAAGGGTCATCTACTTTTTACTTTCACTTACTTATATATGTAATATATAGCAAGGATAGGAATTTCTATCATGAAAATTTTAGAATCTGAGTTTTCAGGTCTCCTGAGTCCAAGTAATCAAGTCCCACAAAATGGTCTGTATGTGTGATGTGAACTGCCTAGCTCAAAATTGAAAAGTCGTACGAAACTGAAATTGGGTATTTAAGTTTTTATTATTTTATTTAAGGTGTATTTAAGGCCTGGGATGTTACAGCAACATTTTCTTCAAAATCGGCAAACCGGAAGTGGTACTTTATATCATCGATTTAACACATTTTTACGATTTTCTCAAAAACGGCTTTAACGATTTTGATTAAACTCAGTGTAGCAGTGTATTATTAAGTAGTATTTAATATCAGCTAGGTCTTATCCATATTGATGTCGCCTTACAGGGCTTAAATGCCCAATGTTCAATGCTTTTTCCTCTAAAATACCGTTAATTTGTTTTACTTTAAAAATTTAACTCTCTCTTAATCACAATAAATAATGGCTAAATATAAAGTATGAAAGAATTTGATAATTGAATAATGGAGAAAAAAGGAGAAATGTTTATTTAAGTGAAAATGGGCCTCTGAAAATAATAGTCAGAAGGTATATGTATAATATATCGTTGGAAAGCAGATAACTTTAGAAAAAAACAATTATCTAATATAGAAAGGCATACGAGGTAATGGAGAATTACGAAAAATAATAATTAGTGAAAGCTAATATTGTTTAACAGAAATCACATGTTTCCCAGGAAATTAAATGAAATTTCTTAACTTAGTAAAAATCTTTAAAATCATTTTTAAGTTTGAAAAAAAAAGTATTTAAAATCCACCAAATCAAGGCAATTGCATTGTTAAGAAAAAAACTATTACATTGAACTTGTGTGAAAGAAGAAGTAAAATATAAAAATATTAGTTGATGTTTAAAATTATGTTTATAACCTTACTGTAGTTTAATAACTCTAGATCTCATATTATATTTAAGTAATTAGATATACATCATCGATTTATTCGAAAACAATTTCTCTTTGTAAAATCACATTACCCACTTACAAATAGCGTGACGACTCCAGACCTATGGACGTTGTATTTAAAAGCAAGTAACTGTATTTTGGCACATTTTCCAAGAGTAAAAATTAAGAATTTAAATACATATTAAAATTGGTAGAGATTTAATAACTATAATTTTTACTAGCAATAATTCTCACAGAATTAATAAACAAGATTTTGGCTGGAAATGATCTGCCCAACGAAATGAAATGAGGGTATCTATTCCCCATATATAAAAACGGTAATAAAAAATTATGCACAAACTATAGAGGAATCTGTGTCACCAACTCCTTTATGAAACTTCTAGGAAGAATTGTCAAAAGTAGGTTAGAAAGAGAATATGAGGGTTCAGAAGACCAAAGGTGGCTTTACTGCAGGAAGATCGGGCATCGATCATTTTTTTAAAAATGAGACAGATCTTTGAAAAACACCTTGAAAAATCTAAAGATGTGGAGTGTCTCTTCATTGAGTTGGAAATGGCATATGACTCAGTTCCAAGGAAGCTATTGTGGAAAGCTCTCAAGGTAGCAAGTATTTCAGAGCCCATAGCATAGTAACCATCATAAGAGAAATTGACCACAATAATGCCTGCTGTGTTAAACTAGGATTAAGTCTCTCTCAAAAATTCGAGACCTCAAAAGGACTTTTGTAGGGATGCTGTCTTTCACCTACCCTTTTTAAAATTTATATTGATGGTGCTCTCAGGGAGTGGAAAAGAAAACGTGGAAAAATAGGAATAAGGATGGGGAGAAATTTATGCATCATGAACCTAAGGTTTACTGATGACCAAGTAATCATAGCACAGGATAGAGAGGACATTAATTATATATTCAGAAAGGTTGTCGAGACTGATGAAAAGTAGGATTTGACTATTAACTTCATGAAAACAAAGCACCTTTGCAGTTCATCTGATGACAAGTCAATTGAAAAAGGTATAAAAACTGTAGAAAAATTTAAATATCTAGGGTCAATATTTAATAGACAAGACATATCCACAAATGATTAAGACAGAAGAATTGGTGAAGGAAGAAAGGTCACAGCAATACTCAACAGTATCCTTTGGAGCTTGAATATATAGCCCAGTACATCGAGACTAATTTAAAAGACTATATTCGAGCCAATAATGACATATGCCTCATAGATATGGGTCATCAATGAAAGACACCACAAAAGACTGTTAGCAGTAGAGGTGTACTTTTGGAGAAGGATAGCAAGAAAATCCAGGAGAGGAAAAATCAAAAATGAAAGAATTCTGGAAATGATGGAGGTGGAAACAAACGTTATAGCAAATATTGAAAAGAAAAGATTAAGCTGGTTTAGGCATGTGAAAAGAATGACACCTGAAAAATTGCCAAAGATATGTATGGAACTGGAAGTAGAAGGGAGAAGGAAAAAGGGAAGACCAAAGGTAAAATGGAAAGTTGCGGTGGAAAAAAGCCTGGTGGGTCATGGTATCAGAGAAGAACAAGCCTAAGATAGAGAAGGATGGAAAAATATCTTAAAGGATATTTAGATCAAGGATAACCACAGTAGTAGAAAAGCCATTAATAAAAAAAATTTACTACATAGTACTATTCTTACTCATTCATAATTTAATATATGTACTTTCAAATCTGTCTTAGTCTATAGAGCTCAGAGACTGGAGTTATGTGATTCAAATAGACTGATGAAGTTATAAGGTTTTTATTGCCTACAATCGATATAATAGAGTTTATGTTATTTGTGTTTAAGATTTAGCTGCATTAAAAATGTCTGCGTTTCAAAAACTTCTTGTAATAGCCCACTTTTGCCAGACAAGAATTGCTTTTTGAAGTGGAGCGGTAAGTGAAAGTTGTGTGATGCCCATACCAGATTTTTTTTAAGGGACTGGAGATCAGATAGAGTAATGCAGATATATTAGAAAAGTTTTTTTGGGCACATTAATTTCTTTATGTTTAGGGTGTCCACAAAAGTTGTTTGAAAGTAGGACAGAGAACAATTTTTGTCAAAAAATATGTATAACACTCCTTCCCTATCGGCTCAAAACTCTCTGAACATCACTTCATTATTATTTCAACATTAATAATACTATCAATCAAACAGAAAAATTTTGAGGTATAGCTATAAAGTTTTCTTGATCCAAGAAGTATTAAACAAATAATAAAATTAGCTTTGCAATACTTCAACCTTAATTCCTTATTTTGCATTGTTTAAACAGGAGCCTCAAGTTTTGTAGTCTAGAATATTTGACAACCCCATATCTTGTCGATCCCATACAAGATTAGTAGTATATACAAGTAGCCACCTTAAAAATTTGAGAACCTGATTACACTGATTAAGTGAAGCAGTTTTTAACCCATCATTTAGGTTAACACCACTCTCAATTATATTTCTTTATCCTTTGTGCTATAAAAAATTTAATTTTTGTTTGGCTTCAGCCAAATTAATTCTGCTACTGACTCTCAAGATATATCATGAATTATATAAAAACAAGAATTTATAGCACCTATAAATGAATATGAAGTAAGTAAAAAATTAACAATGCATATGACTTGTAAATATGATACTTTCACGTAAGTTCACATCCTGATTGTTATATGTAAGTCAACTCAATAAACAATCAATTTTGAGGTCACAAAACTATGTATTTTAATTCAAAAGTGGTCCAATTTAGCCAAGATTGATAATTAAACTTAAAAAAAACAAAAATCAACACCCAGTTTCTACATATTTATAAATATTGAATTAAATTTTCATATATTGAGAAAACAAATGTCTTCCTTAGAAGAAGATATAGTAGTAGATTAGTAAAATTTTACCTTTGATACATAAAATTAATAATAAACCTATATTCTTCTCACCTCCACTAATTGGTGGAATGACTGCAATTTCATCTCCTTCCCTCAAACATAGTGTTTTCTCACCATCTTTTTTAATATATTCTTGATTCACAGAAAGGAGAATGTTGTTAGAAATACTATGAAGCCCAAATTGATCAACAACTTTGTTAATTAGAAGCAATGTAGTAATAGTTGATGGAATCAATAAATGTGTTTCTTTAGTTCCACTTAGCTCTGATGCCTTGGCAAAAAATAATATTTTTACTTTAACAATTTCCATATAGTCTGAACTTTAAAAATAGCAGAAATTACATAATCACTACAGTGAGGTACCAAGGCCTACTTACATAACCTATAAGATTATGTACATAAGCTCACAATGGTGTTGAAAGGTTCTTCAAACATCACGTATTTGTTCAGTGATATCTATGTATCTTAACACAATCAGTTGTTAACATCAAGGTTCACCATTTGAAACATTAAATTGAAATTTTTATATTTAATTTTTTTTTTCCTCTTTCAATAAGTCTGGAGAGGTATAGTGGATACCTTAAACATTTGTGCACCCAATTAACGGCAAGTTCCTAAACTCAGCACTAATTCTATCAATGAATATCACCAATCAATTGAATCCAGTTTCGATGGACAGATATAAATGCTGAGTTAGGGAACGAAATTATGGATTCCAGTAGAAGGTGACACTCATGGAAGGTTACAAAACACATGAAAAATATATTAAAAAATCTGATGCGCGCAACACACAACTTTCACTTACCGCACTTCTTTGAATATAAATTATTTTCTGGCAATGTTGGGCTATTATAAAATTTTTGAAGTGCATTATAAACGGAGCTAAAGCTTAAAGTTTACAGATAACAAATAATTAAGGCCATTTAAACTATTTATTGTATCGACGGTAGACAATAAAAATCTAGTTACTCCATTTGCTTTTATAAAGTTCACAACTTCAGTCTCTGAGCCTTTCAGTTGACAGAATGACTAACTCCAATTTCAACATTTTATAGCAATGTCATTTTAGTGATATTTCTAGTTGGAAAAGTTATATCTATACTGACCATAAGTTGATTCCAGTGTAGGTGATTGCAGTGTTGAAATATTGAACTATGAATAAAGATATAAATTTTGCCACTAGAAATTTCACTACAGTTAATAATTAAGAATTTTAAAATTGGAGCAAGTCATTCTGTCAACCGAAAGGCTCATATATGCCTAGAGAGATTTGAAAGTATATCTGAATATTTAACCAATAAATGATAATGGATTGTTGGACAGTTAGTTATTAAAATGTTATTTTCCATTGTTAAGTTTACTAAAATGAAATTACGAGATTTATATGGATAGGTAAAGTTGTCACATTGATTGGAAGTGGATAACGTTGGGATTTCACAAAGGGAAAATACATCAAATTATTCACTAATTTAATTTTCTAAAAGGTCACTAAATATTTTTTTGGAATAAATGAACAATAGATACCTAATTATTTAAATATAATATCATACCTAGAGTTATTAAACTACAGTAAATGTATGTAAGGTTATAAACATATCTATGAAATATTTTTATATTTCGCACATATACAATTAAATAGTATTTTAAACAATGGCTTGATTCGGTGGATTTTAAATACTTTTCTTTTCAAACTTGCAACAAAATTTAAAAGTTTACATTTGGTAAGAAAATTTCATTTAAATTCCATGGAAACATGTACTTTTACTTTACTACGTAGCTCTACAGCCTGGGGTGGGCCTTAGCTTTCTTAATAACATTGCACCAGTCCTCTCTGCACAATGCTCTCATCCTTCAGTTTCTTATACCAAGATTTTTCAGATCCCTTTCCATATCGTGAATCCAACGTCTCCGAGGTCGTCCTCTCCTTCTGGTGCCATATAACTTTCCAAGCAGAATTCTTTTTTGCATTCTCACTTCATTCATCCGCGTTACGCGACCCAACCATTGAATTTTCCTTGTTCGTATGAAGCGAACAATGTCACAAGATTCATATAGCTCATATAGTTCGCTGTTCTTCGGGATTCTCTATTCACCATGTTTTAATACAGGACCATAAATTTTACGGAGAATTTTCCTCTCGAAAACCTCCAACACATTTATTGTGGGGGTGCAAAGGGTCCAAGTTTCCGCAGAATATGTCACTACTGGTCTTACCAATGTTTTGTCGCGGTTTCCGCTCTACGACAGGTACATCAGGTTCGCCTTCCCGCTACCAGGCAGCGCCCTACCAGCTCTTATTACAAGGAACAACGAGTTCGCCTTCCTGCTACCAGACAGCTCCCTACAAGTTCACCCGTGCAGCATACCAAAATTATATCTTTTATTTCTTATTGTTGTATTATAAAATACTCAAATTATAAATGGAAATATCCATATTCATTGTAAATACTGTTTATTAATAAAGTTTAATGACGATAACATATACTGACCAAAACTCAAAATAACTGTTATAGTAACGGCTCTTGGTAGCCGGTTTAGTCTTGGCGGAATGAATACCCCAGTCAAACCTCAAGTTGTTAGTTCTACGGAGCTTCACCATTTCAGGGACCTTTATGCAGACGGTCACAAAATATATGGTTAGCTGCAAAAATGGCGATACTACTGGTGATATCGATATAGATGGTAATATGTTTGAACAGGTAGAGAAATTTAGGTATCTAGGTTCTACGATAACTAGAAAAAACGAAATTGAAGAAGAGATTAAGGTTAGACTGAAGGCGGGGAATGCTTGTTATTTTTCTGTGACAAAACTACTTAGTTCGCGCCTCTTGTCCCGCTCCTTAAAAATTAGAATCTATAAAACGATTATCTTGCCTACAGTTCTTTATGGATGCGAAACTTGGCCGCTTACATTAAGGGATGAGCAGCGTCTTAAGGTTTTTGAAAATAAAGTATTGCGTAGAATATTCGGACCGAAGAAGGATGAGTTAACCGGAGAGTTCAGACGGTTACACAACGCTGAATTGTGTGAGCTGTATCCGGGTAATATAATTGAGGTAATTTCATCGCGGCGAATCAAATGGACTTGTAAAGTTGTTGGGCTTGGTAACGAGAGAATTCCTAAAAGGTTAATATTTGCTGTGCCGAATGGTAAGCGTCCGAGGGGTAGACCGAAGCGAAGGCGGGAAGATTGCATTAAAGCCGATCTGAAGGGACTGGGTTTGGACGGCGAACGGTGGAGGGAGGTGTGTAACAAGCGATTGGTGGTGTCGGCATCGAACCTTCGGGTTCGCTAAGCCTTATTATTATTATTATGCAGACGGTCAGTATATGTATCATATACGCTATTGGTTCACCTCAGTCTGCTCTTCTTATTTAACATCATCCTGATACCTTTATCCTCTTCTTTTCCTCCATCCCTCCGTCAGTATTTCATCCTCCCACAAGTCCGGAGTTTGATCCCTCCGGTTGTGGTTACCATCCTTGCGGAGTGTTAAGCTTAATCTCTTACACCGCAGGTCGAGAGTGGTTGGGTGCTGATCCGCCTTTCTCTCGAGGGCATCTATCTATTCATCTTCCTCCATCCATTCAGTCATCTCACCCTAAATACTGAACACGCACTGTCGAGGCATTCTGATAACTTCCATATACTGCCTCTGCTTCACATACCTCGACAGTTTTATAAAATCTTATAAACGTTTTGTGTTTGCGTAATAAGCCCGGTTACCTGCCATAGTCCGTCTATTCACTTCTACTGATATTTCATTTGTGCAATTAAGCTCTACTCCAAAATAGGAGAAGGATTTAACATTTTCAAAAGAAAATCCTCCAACGCACAGATCTTCTCTAGCTCTTGAATCACTGCCTGAACTTACAAACATGTACTTGGTTTTGTTTTCATTGACTTCTAAACCAAGCACTTTACCTTCCGCCTTCAACAGCTTCAACAAATCGGTAAGAGATTGCTTATTCCTTGCCACTAAGTTTGAATAAGCATGTTGCCACTAATATCATCAGCGTATACACATATTTCGAGCGATATTCCTCTGTAATTTTCGCAGAGCAGGCTATCTCCCTTTTTAGTAAATTAAACTTGTTTTCCACTCTGCTGGCATGCATTCTTTGTCCCATATATCCTCAATTAGCAATTATAATCGATTAACATATCACTCGCTTTAGCGAATTGGCAGAGATAGTTTCAGTTCTGATTTGTCTCAGTATGGATTGAGAATTTTCCTGCAACGGTCAGTGTAAAGCTTTCGGTTTCTATTTGTGCATTTAGGTCTCCTAAAATAATTTCAACATCATATTTTGGAGATACATGATATACTCTTTCCGATTCTTGATAAAATTCCAATTTTACATATTCAGCTGCTTCCTCGGTTGGTGCATATGCTGAAATCAATGTCACGTTCCTAAATCTACCTTTCAATCTAAGTTTACAAATTCTCTCACTAATCGGTTCAAATAGTAGTAAACTCTTCTTTATTTTCTTTGTGATTAAGAATCCAGTACCACCTTTTCCGCTTCTCTTGCTAGGTCCACTGTAAAACATTGAGAAATCCTTCTTGTCCACTCTGCCCGATCCATCCTATCTTGTCTCCTGTAAGGCTACTGTGTGTATGGTAAACTTAATTATTTGTTCAGCCACTTCCGCCATTTTACCGGGCTGTAACATCGTCCTCACATTCCACGTTGCAATAATCAAATCCAAATTCCTGTTCCGGGTCCGTTTCCCTTTAATCCAATCCGGCCTATTGCTGTCTATGGTTTTCTGAACATATTTATTTATTTTATAAGATGGGGGCGTTAACCCCAGGCTCAAACCCCAACCTGGAGGACCAGAGCTTTGAATTCAGGGTTCCGTCCCATAGCATGGTGGCTTTCACTACAGCTTACAGAGTCCATGCTACCCTTGATTTCTTTAGAGTTTTTTCTCCTAGCCTTTAGTACAAGGCATATTTACTGGCAGCACTTGCCATGTCACAACATCGTCAACGGGTTTTGTGGTATTTATTACACATGACCCTGCCACAGGTCATATGACTACCCCTGCTGATGTTGCCACTCCTGTTCCGGGACCGCTCATTTGGGCAAGCCCTTATTCGCAGCTAACCTGTATACCTACAGGCGGTTCCGCTATCCGCCATCTGTGGACCCGGCAGTAGCTGGAGTAAGCTCTGAGTTGGAAACATGTGATTTATGTTAAATAATGTTAGTTTTCTGAAATTATTATTTATATTTTTTTTTGTCACTCTCCGTTATCTTCTACAACTTTATTTATTTGATATTACTTTTTTCTAAAACTCTCCACTTTCCAACGGTATATTATACGTATACCTTCTGACTGTTATTTCCCGAGATTCATTTTCAACCTGGATAACCATTTCTCTTTTTTTAACCAGTTTCCAATTATAATATTCTCTCAAACTTCATATTAAGCCATTTTTTATAGTTACTGTCAATAAAATAAGAGTTAATTTTTTTTAAATAAACCATATTAAAGATACTTTAGAAGAAGACATATATGAACATTGGGCATTTAAGCCCTGTTAAGTGACATCAATGGGGATAAGACCTAAATGTTATTGAAGATCATTCAATTTTGCAATAACACACCGAGTTTAATCTAAATCGTTAGAGCCGTTTTTGAGAAAATTGTAAAAATGTGTTTCACCGATGATATAAAGTGGCACTTTCGGTTAGCCGATTTTAAAGAAAAAGTTGCTGTAACATCTAAGGCATATGCCTATCTTAAATACGTAATATCAGTTTCGTACGACTTATCATTTTTGAGTTAGACTTACCACATACATACACACATACACAGACCATTTTGCCGGCACTTGGTTATTTGGACTCAGGAGACCTCAAAACATGTATTTCCGTTGAAAACTCAGATTCGAAAATTTTCACGATCGCAATACTTACCCTTACTATATATTTGATATATAGGTTAGTGAAAGTAAAAATGCAGATCGTTGCAGGAAAATTCTCAATCCATACTGAGACAAATGAGAACTGACAACATCTCTGCCAATTCGCTAAAGTGATTGATATGTTAATTAAAAGTACATTTTTCCAGCGAAAAAAATAT